ATCAGTCCTAGCATCATTACTTATAACTCTTTAATTGGAGGGCTATGTCAGTCAGGAAAGACTGAATTAGCAATAGATAAGTTGAACGAGCTTCTTGAAAATGGTTTAATTGCAGATGAAACTACATATAAAACGATTATCCACGGTTACTGTAGGGAGGGGCTGATTGACAAAGCTTTTCAATTTCATAATAAAATGGTTGAAAATTCATTTAAACCAGACGTGTTTACCTGTAATATTCTTCTTGACGGGCTTTGTAGAGAAAGGATGCTGGAAAGAGCGCTTAAACTCTTCAAATCATGGATATCTAAAGGAAAACATATTGATGCTGTCACTTACAATACAATGATATCAGCCCTCTGCAAGGAGAGGAGATTTGATGAAGTGCTTGAGCTTGTCTCTGATATGGAAGAAAAGGAACTGGGACCTGATCATTACTCATATAACGCTGTTCTTGGTGCGCTGGCTGATACTGGTTAATTAGAGGAAGGAGACAAGTTATTAGCCTAAATGTTAGAGAAGGGAAAATTACACGATCAACCCTTGCAGATAGAAAAGAGGGAGAATGTGATGGCAAGTTCGGTACCAGAAGAATTTGATCCTGACTCCATTGCATATACAGAGAAGATTAGCGAGCTGTGCACTCAAGGAAGATACAAAGACGCAATGCAAACTGTTGAAGAACTGACACGGAAAGGCATTTCTGTAGATAAGTCTACCTACATTGATTTAATGACTGGTCTTATTAAACGGAGGAAAAGCATATCAAAAGCTGCGGGGTAGAATTCAAGCCTTTTTTTCCTTTGACTCAATGGTGCCAAATGGAGCAAGCTTCATCATGGCTTTCGACATTAATTCAGTGGCAACGTAACCTAGTAAAGAGCTCAGGTAAAGTGTGTTCTCTCTGCTTGGACCTTCAGGAAAGGTTAATGTTGCCAATTCATAATCAACAACTGATAAATTTTTTCGAAGTTGAAGCTCCAATTAGATTTCAGATTTACACATTCATTTTTGCCTGCCTGTTGTTGGTTGTTGCTTTTATGAATTCTTGATCTGTATGGTTTCCAAAATTGGCTGATCAAGTGGAAAACAATACATTGGCTTTAAAGCATGGTTAGATATGCATATTTTATGTGTACTCGGTGTGGCTGTATAGTTGAATAGACAACAAGCATAAAGAATCTGCCAAGAGCGAAGCCAGGTTGTCCAAATTTATGCATGTTGACTGAAAGTGTAATGTTAGATGCCAGCTACATGTATCATGCCATGGGCCTTAAGTCCAGCATGGAACATATTTTGGTTCAATAAATCTCTAGGTCATCAAATAGAAGGTGCAACGAAGAAGTATTTGGCAATTCAATATTTTGTGAGTGGTCTCCTCTTTGATGAGGGACGCTACGAGACCTGATTACAGTTTTCTGTTATAAATCTTATGTTTTTTGGCGTCTTATTGATAAGTACTTCAAACATTTCAGTAATTAGTTCTACTCATGGTTTGCTGCTCTTTCAATGTAGAATGTGGATCTACAATTGGCCCATTAATTATTTATTGTGTCATTTGGCTTTAGTCCTAAAACTGCTTTTTTCTTACTTATTCTTTTGCAGATCTTTGTTTGGACTGACAGGTAGTCTTGATACTCCTTTAGGTAAGTCCTTCTGAATAAACTAATATCGGCTTCCAAAGAAAAACTAATATCAACAGTCATTCAGAGAAATAGAAACCTCCCTTATATGTTTTGCTGAACCATTGTTACAGTAGGATTGCATTTGGATTCATAAATTTTAAATACATTGATTTTTTACTGAACTTTTTGACTTAAAATGCTTGCATGCCCTTCTTCCGTTGGATTTCAAAAAAAAAAAAAAACAAAGGTTATTAATGATGTTGAATTGCTATTGTAGAACATACAATTTTAACTGGTGTTGGCACTTGGATATGTATTGATCGTGGTAAGTGATTACATTTACACCGAGCGGGGGGGATGTTAGAAGCTTGTTAGATGTGAAAGCACAATATGTTTACTTCTTCAGAACTCGTGATAATTCCTTACAATGGGAACCTGAGAGCAATGCATATGCATTTGGATTCGTATTAGAAGCGGTGTTGGCACTTTGTTTGCCATGAGAGACTTAGAAATACTGAGAGCAATTGTTTACGTCTTTTTTCCCTTCATTTGTTTTTTTCTCTATCTGTAAACTGAGGTCTAATGGGTTGCCTCTGCAAAGTTCTTGATTGGAAACGAAACAAAACCATGGAGTTTAACCACGGATGATTTAATAAGAATTTCATTTCTGTTTACTTACTCTGATGTTCCTATCTATCAGATGGTCAATGTAAAGGAGCTCGAAGAGGCGAAAGAACTCGTACTTTCAGATGCTTTGCTTACATTGGTTGCACGCCAAACTGAGGTTCGACAGTAACTCGGAACCTGCAGAATGGGTGCTTGAGAAGAAATTTCAAGGGGCAAATATGCCAACAACATCAAGGCTGAGTTGTGTAAGTTCTCGGTTTGGAATAAAGCACACACTATTGAAGAGAGGATATGGCCATCTTCATGAAATTTTGTATAGCAATAATTCTTTTGATCTAAAATAAAACAAAATACAGTTGAAGAGTTGATCATGTACAATATACGTCTGATTTTTACTGTTTCTCTCATATACGATTAATGGAAGGGAATCCCATAATTAAAGATTATTAAAATAAAATAAAGAAAGAAACAATGGGCCACATAATCTTTAGTTGCATTTGGAAGCAATTACAGTAGTGAGAGTATCTATATATATATATATATTATAGAAAACAAAGAATCATTAAATTTAACTTTGTACATCAACCCCTTTTTGTGTTCCTGAAGTGATTCTCTCTGCTTTTAAAAGGTGAAAAAAGATGTTTAATCATGACTGCATGTTGTGATTTCTTGTACAATTTTATTTCTTACCAATTTGCTTTTGAAGGATTGTGATGAGTGGATCATGGAAACCAACCACAATTCTCACTCCAAAACTTGAGTGACTGTTTCATTATCTTGTAGCGATTTCAGATTGATGAAAGAAACAACAGTGTTGTCTCACAGACATGTGATTTCATCTTCATAAATCAAGTTTATTTGATTGGAGCTTTTGATCATTTCCCTTTTGAAATTAATAAAAAGCCAAGCGTAGACTATGCAGGAGGGAACTCTACTCCCTCGACCATAACAAGTAAATCAAGAACCCGCTCCTCCGCTTTCTTTGCCAAAGTCATCGCTTCAAATTCTTCTTCTAAAGATAAACTCTTCTTAGTATGAAAACGTTCAATGTAAAAAAGGCTCGAGGTGCGTGTGGAATTCGTGCCATCCTCATAGCTCAAAATTATATATATATAACATAGTTGTACGCCTACGTGTATATATATATATATATATATATATATAGTTGGTTCTTCTTGACCCCCCAAGAAGGGGTAGGCCAAGTGGTTTCCGACCTTCCCTTCATTGAAATATTTAAGCACAAATCTTTACATTGTATACATGCATGTAGATACATATATACAATGTATTTACATGCATATATACAATGGAAAAAAAAAAAAAAAAAAAAAGGAATATTTGAAAGTATGAAGTCCAACTAAGCAACAACGTGTGGACTTTTGTTAAAATTATATAAATGGAGGCCAGTTTGCAAATACCCCAAAAAATATTGCCTTTTATTTTTATTTAATTTTTTTTAAATCTTAAATTGATATCTAATCTAAAATTCATATTCTTTTTGACAGATAAATTTGAT